TAGCTATCAAAGTCAGTAGAATATTTGATGATATATTTTTCAATGGGAGAGTTTTTAGCATCCGGCTTGGACCAGTATATATCGAGGATAATATCATCAGCATTGTCAACTCTTACATTAAATGGAGAAGAAGGTACATCTGAAAAGATGATCAAAATTAAAGTATATATTATGTTCTTCTAATGGCTTTCCTGACACAAAACATTCATTTAGTTTTGTTCCAATGTTTTTATAATCCTTCAGTAAATAACATACAGAAGGACATACAGTTTCAGCAGTAAAAACATTAGATTGAGCCCCAAGAGTCACTAAAAACTGTATGTCCACTGCTGGTGGAATGAACATTTGTAATATTAAATTGAAATATAGCTGCATAGCAGCGATGACGGGTTTCGAGCCTGCGTGGCTCATGGCAAAATGCACTTGCTTGATGTGATTTTTTGACGAACGTCTCATGTCTAGAATGCAATTTTCTCAACAAGTCTTCTGGTATTTTGCTATTATGAACCACACTGGAATCAGCAGACATAACAATTTATAGTCATCTGTTCATTGTCATTCATAATAAAGATGATTTTTTTTGAGGAAATTTGCATTTTTGTGATAAATTCAAGATGGCCGCCAAAACCACTTGAATCATGGGAAATATTTTCATGAACACATAACCATCGTCTTGAACGGATGATGTATGCCAAGTTTGGTTTGAATCTGGAAAATTGTTCATGAGATATAGTGTAATTTCACTTTTTACTAAATCCAAGATGGCTGCCAAAGGAAGCCATTTTTCAAAAATCTGCTTGAGCAACTTTGTAGAGCTATCAACAGAGATATTATATGCTAAATTGTTTGTCAAACAAGCAAGCAGTTTTTAAGAAGATAATTTTTTTACGTTTTTTGCATTTTTTTGATAAATTCAAGATGGCCGCCAAAACCACTTGAATCATGGGAAATATTTTTATGAACACATAATCATCTTATTGAAGGGATGTTGTATGCTAACTTTGGTGACAATCTGGCAAATTGTTCATGAGTTATAGCGTAATTTCACTTTTTACTAAATCCAAGATGGCTGCCAAAGGAAGCCATTTTTTCGAAAATCTGCTTCAGTAACTTTGTAGAGCTATAAACGGAGATACTATATGCTAAATTGATTGTCAAACAAGCAAGCAGTTTTTAAGGAGATAATTTTTTGAGGTTTTTTGCATTTCTGTGATAAATTCAAGATGGCCGCCAAAACCACTTGGATCATGGGAAATATTTTCATGTACACATAATCATCTTATTGAACAGATGTTCTATGCCAACTTTGGTTTCAATCTGGCAAATTGTTCATGAGTTATAGCGTACTTTCACTTTTGACTAAATCCAATATGGCTGCCAAAGGAAGCCATTTTTCAAAAATCTGCTTCAGTAGCTTTGTAGAGCTATGGCCGTAGGTGCTTCAAAGCAAATTTCTCATCACATGAAGAAGCCATTTTTAAGTAGAAGATTTTAAAAATTTTTTGTCAATTTTCACAAAATCCAATATGGCGGCCAAGGTCACATGACCGCTAAAGA